ATATATATATATATATATATATGAAGTTAAAACTTAAAATAATAAATAAAATTACACATCAACATATGACGTATGAAAAAATTATGAAAAAATTATAATTAACAGGTCACCTAAGAGCATCCACAATGCATAGTTTAACGGGAGAGTTGAATGAGGTGTATGTCTAATTAACATTCAATAGATTAAACTTTACCATTGTGGGATGTCATGTTGACATTCAATAGATATGAAGTTCAATGGCCATTGAACTCATCGAAAAATGAAACTTTTTAACTATTAATAATATATTTCATTAAACTTTATAGAGTCCAATGCATTGTACAACTGTGGATGCCCGCGTTATCTTTTATATAAATGGAAATATTTATATTGTAATGTATACCGAGTTGAAGAGTTTCAGTTCACGAACGGTTATATACGTAACATACTTTTTGTTAATATATTTTATTTATTACTGTCATGCTAAACATATTTCTTGTGTGAGTCCACCAAATTTTAGGCTTAATTTAACAACGACATAATCCTAACACCTTAATACCCTGCACATAGAATTCAAATGAATATTTGTAATAGACGTCAGCAATTACACATGCATTTTTTTGGTTGTTGTATACGACTCTAATTAACATGTTTTGTCCTCTACCAAGCATCCACCTCTCCGATTTTGCAACACCATCTATCTCCCATTGACCCATTGTGTATATAACTATATATATGTATACTTGGCTTTAAGACATATTGTACAGATCACTCAATATATAATTCATACATACCCAAAAACAACAAACATTCACTCCTACTCACAAAAACACAATCGTCATCAATGGTTTCATCTAAACAAGATCTTGTGCATGTGTTTCTCGTCACTTTTCCAGCACAAGGCCATGTCAATCCACTCCTCAGACTCGGCAAGCTCCTAGCTTCAAAGGGCAACCTCCTCGTCACCTTCTCCGCCACCAAATCCATCGGAAAGAAACTCAAGAAAGCCGGCACTGTCGTTTCCGGTGATCCTACTCCGGTAGGCAATGCTGGCGGCATGATCCGATTTGAGTTCTTCGATGATGGATGCTCCGAAGACAATGATGACGAACGCTATGACCTTGACAACTACTTACCTAAGCTTGAGGCTTACGGAAAAGCTGCACTCACCGGCATCATCAACCACCATGTAGAAAACGGCCGGCCAGTATCGTGTCTAATCAACAATCCTTTCGTGCCTTGGGTCACTGACTTAGCAGAAGAGCTTAACATTCCGTCTGCTATGCTTTGGGTACAATCTTGTGCTTGCTTTTCATCGTATTATCATTACGAGAATTCATTAGTTCCCTTTCCAAGTGATGAACAACCAGACATCGACGTTCAGTTGCCAAACATGCCGCTCCTGAAGTCAGATGAGATTCCAAGCTTTTTACATCCTTCAACGCCTTATCCGTTCTTGAGAAGAGCCATTTTAGGGCAGTTCAAGAACTTGTCGAAGACATTTTGTGTTTTAATGGAGACTTTTGAAGAACTTGAGGGTGATTTAATCAATTACATGTCTCAAATATGCCGTATTCGATCCGTGGGTCCCTTGTTCAATAACCCATTACTTGAAACAAGCTCTAATATCTCCGGCGACCTGATAAAAGCCGACGATTGTCTGGAGTGGCTCGACTCGAAGCCACCTTCATCAGTCGTTTATATCTCATTCGGAAGCGTAGTGAGCTTGAGTCAAGAACAGGTAACTGAGATGGCTTATGGTGTTATGAACTCCGGCGTGTCGTTTTTGTGGGTAATGAGGGTGGGTGCGACTTCCACCGGCGAATCTGGAGAGTTGCCCGAAGGGTTATTGGAGGAGGCCGGAGAAAGGGGAATGGTGGTCCACTGGAGTCCACAAGCCCAGGTGTTGAGTCACTCGGCGGTGTCTTGTTTTCTGACTCACTGTGGGTGGAACTCAACCATGGAAGCGTTGTCAAGCGGTGTTCCTGTGGTGGCGTTCCCACACTGGGGAGATCAAGTGACGGATGCAAAATATTTGGTTGATGAATGGAAGGTTGGGATTAGGATGTGTAGGGGTGAGGCCGAGAATAGGGTGATTGGGAGGGAGGAGGTGGAGGAGTGCTTAAGAGAGGCTACAAGTGGTGTAACGGCGACGGAGATGAAGAAGAATGCATTGAAGTGGAAGAAAGCAGCGGGGGAGGCGGTGGCAGAAGGTGGAACATCCGACCGGAATATTCAAGAGTTTGTGGATGAGGTTAGAAAGATAAGTGTGAGATCAGTTTAAGCCAGCCCACAAACGTGGACACAATTAGTTGGAAAAAGTATTTACGTATTTTGAAATTTATTTCCTTGACAATAATAGTTTTTATTCAACATAATAATCATAGTATTCCCTCTTGCGTCATTGTCTCGCCTTACATTTCCTATGTTGTCAAAACAAGTAGCGTCACTGTCAAAGCTTTTTTTACCAAAACATAGTATTCACCAAAAATATCAATGTATAGTACTTTCTAAAATATTTATCAAAAAGTGGTAAATTACCGTAGATCACTACACCTAATGCTTTTTAAAACTACAACTACAAAACTCAGAAATATTTGGGATGGTTACTCATAAAGGGCCAAAGGGGGGAAATTGCAATTAGTTGATTCGGCAAAAAAAATTACACATGTGGTAAATAGGAGGTACTCCAATTCCAGTGTTCTCATGTATTGCGTGTGCATATTTTTCTTTAAATAGTTATCAGTATATTTACAATTATATTTTATTTTTTTTACTTGCTACTTGGGCATCTGTGTCATGAAGCATATTATACAAATTATAAATTAAGTTTATTGCATAAGTTACAACTCCTAAAACAAAATGTACATGGGAACATCTATACATGTATTGGCTTAAATAATTGGGTTCCGAAAGTAGAGATTTTAAAGGCTACTGGACATTCAAATTTCCACATGACCTAAAGAAGTTGATCATATTGTCATAAAGATCTTCATATCCTCTCGTGCTTAACAAGAAGTCTATATGGCCATAATCCTCCAAAAACAAAACATTTGGTTTTGATTTCAATTCTTTTAGT